TTTATTCTACGAAATCTAGCCATGAATTTTGAATAAACGTTCACAAGAATCCAAGCTACGAACAATATATGTTTATTGTGTGTGTTCCAAAGTTTTGACCAGGTACTGTATGTGTGAGAGACATGATGGTAAATGTGTGCTCTTAATAAAGGATATGCTTGTTTGATTATTTATAGGCAAAGCATTGTCGATTACCAGAGTTCCTGCTAGTGAATGTAAGAAGATGATTGTGGGTTTGTATAGTAATAAGATCAGTGATTAGAAGACAGAAGAACCATGTTGAAATTGATAAAAGGAAAAAAGAAATCAATGGCGAAGGCGATGGAAAAAGAATCAAGAATCCAAGGGAAAAAAGAACGCGTTGGTTTTATCATGCTACCAGACTATCTTGATATAACTATAAATTGGCTATTAAATTTTGTTAAAAGCGACTTAAGAAATGTCTTTTTTTATTTCACCCGCATGAGCCGGCTCGCGAGGGCCTTACGCACAATATTAACTAAGTCTCCTTATTCACCTCATTATTTGCTTCTTCAGATGACGGGAAGTATCTAAGACCTGAGATGCTGGGTCTGAGATATCAATCGCAGCACATTAAACGTGGTAAAAATATATGTCTTACCGCTTACTAACGGCGATGATATAAATGAATAGATGGGAAAATTTAAATAATTCGTTTGTTGTACTAATTAATGTAACATCGATGGTTAGTTATTTAATATTAATATTTTTTAATGTAAAGTTACATAATATTTTTGCTTGATTATACTAAAAATGAATTATTACGCATTTTGTATTGACTTCAATACATAGAAATCAATAATATCAATCCTAATCTTTAATATGATAGATTAATTAAATCATCGAGCAGTTGACACAAATATTGATAAATTAATTTATTTTGTGGCGTTGGCACAGATATTAAAATTTGTGGCACAGTTTCCCAAATTATAAATTAAGAGTTGTTTCAAAGATTTTTCATTTAATTTCACACAAATAAAACATTAATTAAACATTGTTTACCAATATTATTGTGATTCAACATATAGAAAAAAACCTTATGATGATTTAATTTTTATTAAATGGCATGAATAACGTATAAAGAATCAGGAGAGCATCACCTATACAAAAGTTTATATTTTTATGATTGATACATATTTTTCTAAAAAAAAAATAATATTTTTTTTAATTTACTAAAACAGTATATCAGCTATTCTTTAATAATAAAAAACAGCCCAAACTTTATTGTACAGACAGATCCTCCTCTCATGTACCAATGATTGTATTATGTACCACAATTTTAACATTGATCCTATCAAAATGCCAATATTTATCATGGAAAAAATTTTCCAATGAATCCACCCCCGCTCTCTTCGTTAGGCAAAAATTATCAATAAAAATGATATGACATAAATAAATTATTGTCATTGCATAAAAACGAAGATTATTCTAACGTATAATACAGTTGATTGATTATCTAACATGATTGTTTTTGCCGCCTTTAACTAATCAATCTCTCACGAAAAAAATTATCCGAAACAAAACAAACAAACAAACAAATTAATTTATTAAATTTGTGTTAATATTTAATCAATTAAATTTGTGTTAATATTGATAAATAAAAATGTTATTAAATAAAATGATCTTTAAAATGAATGATATTCTAATAATTAGTAAATGAATGAATGCCACTAAATATCCATCAGTTATAATCTAATGCTTACCACTACTGCTGTTACTAGAATTTACCCTCTTGCTTTTATCCATCTAATATTTACCTAACATTAATTTATTAGTGAAAAAAGAAAACAAAGGGCCTTTTCTTATTTCTTTATTAATTGATTTTTCTTCATTCTTCTCTTCGTCTCTTCGTCAAATTTTCTCCTTGTTCTGATATAATTGTAGAACAATTAATAGTTAATTATGCTAATTTTTTTGGTAATAATAAATTTAATTACACATCTATATTACTACGATAAATGACTAAATCCATCAATTGAGCAATCAGAAATATTGCCATAATTATCTAATGATTAGTATTTACATTACGTTAACCATCAGACAATGAAGAAAATAATCAATAAGATAAATAACATTGGGAAAAAAATTTTCATTCCTTCCTCATCCTTTACACATATTTTTCAAAAGTTCATACATACAAAAAAAAATTTTTAAATTTAAGAATTAAAGACACTAATCTATGTTCTTTATTATTATTATATTTAATAATGATGATTAAAACCTTAATCACGAGTACCGTTAATTAAACTGTTAATTAATATTTTTTTGTTTTTATTATTTCAATAATACTACAATTAGTTTTATAAATTAAACTTTTAAAAAACACTTCTATCTTCAAGTAATAACGACAAATTTGGGAATTATCGTTACACTTGTACACCCTCGTACACTGCCTAATTAAAGTCTTATTGTTTCACGCGATATTTGCTCACGTAAATTCGAAATCATAACTGAATGTGATGATAATAATAATAATAAATAATAATAACTAATATGTTATCATTCTTAATATAGTAATAATATGCACGTGTGAATGTGCAAATATGTGTGACCAGAAGAAATTCTTTTTTTCAATCACACTATTTCATTTCTTATTCTTTGATCTCTCAAAAAAAAAAAAAAAAAAAAAAAAAATTAAACAATGATAATAATAAATAATGATTATTTATAGCATCGCTTGTTCTTCACCACTCGTACTTTTTTACATATATGAACTTAAACTTGATCAGGAACCTGTTTAGTTCATTTATAGCGAATTTTTTACGCACATATAAAAAAAATATGCTGTATGCACGCGCGTATGTTATACCATTTGATATATTATTATTCTGAGGATTGGTTACTCGAGTAAGTCTGTGTTAGCGTTAAGTGGGTTAAGTAGTTCAATTCGAAATTTGGACATTACTATCCAGCGAATATATTGAATACATGGAAATCGTATGAATATCAGATTACGATAATATGATAAAATTGCGCTAGAAAAATAAAGGTCAAATATTAATTTATTTGAAATTCCAAAACTTTCAAAGAATAATTAAAAAAATCACTAAAACGGGCATTTTGCAAAGCGTTTTAAATGCCGTGGAACAAAATTTTTTTTTTGCATTTATAAATAATTCTTGAAACGACGCAAACTTTATTTTCTTTAAAAAACAAATGAAATTGGAATTTAATTGATTAGAACTTTTTATTTTGTTTTTTTTTAGTTTGTTCTGAGATTCCAAATATGTTGAATTGTAGAATGTAAATTTATGATCAATGGATGAAACCATTTTTATAATTCATGTTATCTTTGTAAAATTACTATAATACTTAATTGAATGTTTTTTTATTTCAATTAATACAATGATGGAAAACAAAAAAGGAAATAAGAAGAAATTGAAAAACTATCTAAGCATAACGAAGAATAATGATGGATGATGAACACATCTTGAAACGTCTGTATTGTGTTATCGAAAAAAAAAAGAACTGTCTTTTTTAATATGAAAGAAGAAGAATCCGTCTTTTTGTATTGCAAAGCACGATCAAAAATTTTAACAATAGTAATGAAAGACGACAAAAAACAATTACTATCAATCAATTATTATCTTATTATTGTTGTTGTTGCTATTATTATGATTGTAACAATCCCATATTATTTAAAATTCTAAATCTCGATCATAGTCTATGCAGTTATTTAGCAAGTCTTTATAGAATTGGACTTTCTTGGGCATTTTTTTGTAAGCCATATGACCTTAATTATGCGATTAATACCGATCACAATGTATTGTTGGTGATGATGACCTTTAGTCTTTTGTCACAGATTGATTAAATCAATTGTAGGTTGGATTAAATGTCATCGGTTGTGAGGAATATTAATATTAAAAAAAAAAATTTTCCTTTACATATGAAATAATTCTCATATGTTGAAAATGATTCATTATGAATCATCATTTAATTGTTTTTGTATTTGATCGTCGTCACCGAGGCATGTTGGACACGTACGTTTCCGGCATAAAGAGTGTGATGTCTTATTGCTGATAGTTAGCTGTTATAATTGACTAAGATCTCTACCAAGAAGAAAAACAATAATCTCCTTGATCTATCATCAGGTGTTTTTGATTTTTAGAAAGAAAAAGATCAGATTTTACATTTATATAATGAATACATGTGTAATTGTTGAGAAAAACTACATTATTAAAATTTTCTTTCTTCAACGAAAAAAAAAATTTTTTTTGGCAAAACACAAAAAAACCCCTATGCGGAGTAAAAGATACGCTACATACATTGTATACATTACATACATATGTAAAAAAACAAAAAAGAAACACTACTTGCACATATGTTTATACATTTTATAAGTTTTGAATTGAATTCACATCTATATAATTTTTTTATATATTTATGCAGGGACAACAATGCATAAAATAAAATAAACAAGCACCCGGTAATTTTTATATTTTTTATATTATTATATATGGTAATTAATAGTAATTAAATATCTACGATTTAATAATTATAAAAAAATCATTGCTAAATCCATTTTACAATAATTTTATAAATATGCGTGTTTCCTGGGGAATACGGTTTAATGTTTCGGCGAGTAAGAAAAAGTTGTCTCCGGAAGTATTTGAATAGTTTTACACAGACTCCCTCTTACTCCATACAATAAATTAAATTTAAATTATACAAACAAAACTAAACCAATCAAAGCCGAAAAAATAAAAATCATTCAAACACAAAAAATCCCAACTTTTAATTCTTGTATATTTTTATTATGAATGGAAAAAATGTTTTTGGAAATGAATAATACAAAAAGAACAAAAAGAAGAATAAAAAGAAAAAAAGAAGAGAGGAAAATTGAACTAATAGTTAAAGGTGTTGTTTGTTGTGAGCAAATAAAAGAAACCGAGGACTAATAAGATTCTTCAATTCAAAACCCCATTATAAATTACTTCATCCCTCGTGATTAAATTAAATATTTTTTGGGTTGGCTAATAATATCCTTTTTAGTGAATTTAAAAATATAAATAAAAAAACGTGGTAAAAGTGTGGCCATAGCCGAGTTACATAAAGTAATTTAGAATGAGTGAATGGATGAATGGATGAATGAGTTGGTTGAACGAGGAGGAAATAATATTATTTTGTGTGATCATCTTTACGAATCAAAGATTATTATCTATAACATTTTTTTAATTAATTTTAATTAAATTTTCTATTATTGACAAAAAAATTGTATTTCTTAATAATCTTAATGTTAATATTAGAATTAATTAATATTAGTGTTTAATTAATATTATTATTAATATTCTAATATTAGGTATTTATTATTTAAATTATAATTATTTTTAATAATATACAAGACAATATAAATGCATGTTGTCTATCTATCAATTTGATATATGTGTGCAAGGTTAATATTCAATGCTAAGCAGTTGGATCGAAAAAATTTTGAAATTCTTTAATATTGACTTTTTTGTAAAACAAAAAAAAAAATTTTTAAAAAACAAGTTTTTTTTTATTTAAACATCTAATATATGTGGCACAAAAAAATAATATATAGTAAGATACAATAAAATTTTTTTTGATTTCCCGCGAAATTTAAAATCCCGAATAAAAGAGTTATTATTTTAATGATATTAAAAATAATTTTCCGGCATTGTTATTTTTTCCTCATTATGATTAAAAATCCAAAAATTGAACTATTAAAATACTTTTTTTAAAAAAAAATTTGTAATAATGAGGGAAAATAACAATAACGAAGAAAAAACTTTATAAAGCGTGGTGGAATTGTTTTTTATTTTTATTTGTTTTTCTAAAGCGGGGTCTAATAATTTGTTTTAAACTTAAAGAATTAATTGTAGGAGATTTCAATAAATGCTTTTTACGATGACAATAGTAATAATAATAGAGAACAGCATTGAAAAAACATCGATTTTTCTTCTATAAGTTCGTTTTTGTAATGATATCAGACGTTACACGAACACCGAGCTTCATACTATTGTTTAACTTCCTAATAAATTACTAAAATGGATTTAAAGAGAGGAGTTTATAATTACAAACTATTTTAAAAGTCAAAAAAAAAAAAAAAAAATGTCAATACAAACTTTAAATCTTATTATTATTTAAAGTTTTTTAAATTGAAAATTTTTTTTAAAGAATTATTCCAAAAATTATTTTATTCAATTGCCTTTAATGTTTCCTAACAATAAATTAAAAATAAAACTTGTAACATGTAATAATATATATATATATATATATGCGTAATATGTAATAATATGTGTGCAATATGTGCAATCTATGTGTATACAGTATTATAAATTTTATAACTACATACTGCAATTAATTAGTTTTCTAAAGCCAAAGAATTTATTTTTATAATTTTTTTTGTAATTCCGTAATTTATTTAATGCGTTTTATCAAACAATTTTTATATTGAAATGAATTAAAATTCATTAATAATCTTTTTTCTCTTTATTTACAAACAATCATTTTGACATTCCTTTACATAAACATTACATAAAAAAATAAGTTGTACGTATTAGGTTATACGTCATACACACATAATGTTCATACCAAATTAGTAAGAAATAAACTTCACTTAAGAAATTGCCAAATAAGGAAGCTCTTATAGTCGTATAGTCATTTTTATCGCATTATATACGATTTCAAAGTCACGTTGATTTGTAGTGATTGATAAATTCTTCAAAAAATATCTTCATAATGTATAGTAGTTGTCATAATAGGAATCAATGGCCCATTATAAATTGTGATTTTTATATTTTTTAATATATTTTTAATTGGTTTTTTTAAATTATTGGATTTAAAATTCATGTAATCTACCGAGGGTAATAATCGTGTAACATAAATTTTTTATTTTTACTTTTATACTTTTTATTTTACTTTTAAAATAACAGAGTTACACCAAAAAACAATTGGTTCGAAATTTTTTTTTATTTTAAAATAATTATTAAATAATAAATATATAAGAAATCTGGAAATATAAATAAACCTCATGAGTTTTCTCATTTTCCCAACAAAATTTTTTGAAAATTTTATCAAAAAAAAAAAAAAATCAAAATTATTATAAAATAAATATAATAATAACAATCATCTTTTTTTTTTCTAATAAAAAAAAAATAAATCATTTTTAATAAAAAAATATATATAATATTATATTATGTCTTTTATTCAATCGATTTATCGTAGTAACAAAACTTCAATTCAACATTCAACAAAACAGACAATATCAAAGCCTTTAAAAAACGACATTACTACTCCAGTAGCTGCATCAAATAATACTTCACAACATCAACATACTAAAATGTCTTCTTTCAAACTTGGCAAAAAATTCCATATCCCACTTTTCAATAATACTGCTAAAACTGCCCCCGCAAAAGCAGCTGCTAAAGATACTTGTGAAACTAGCTCAAATGACACAACTTTAAATTCAAGTAATAACAATGATTCAACAACAGGAAAAACATTAAAAAAAACATTATCAAATCTTTCTTCTTCAACAACAACATCATCATCATCAAAATCAACAACTTCCTCAATATCAAGATTGTCATCATCTTCAATCAAATCAATTAAATCTAATAGCAATGCATCTCTCCAAAAGAAAGTTCCATCAATACGTAAACAAACTATTGTGCATCGTACTGACATTGGTAACAGGAGAAATACTATTTGGTCTGATACTGTCGAGGAAGATTTAGTTGACAATTTATCACCAATCGAGCTCAAAAGACAAGAAGTTCTTTTCGAAATTATTAAAACTGAGCAAGAGTACGTATATAAATTTATATTTATTTATATTATTTATATCATTATTCGTTTATTTCACGTGATTCATTCTAACCAATAAAATTCTTTTTATTTTCCCTCCAAAAACAGATATGTACGTGACTTGAAATTAATGGAAGAATTATTCATAAATCCAATCAAAGAAGCCGAACAAAAAAGCAGAAAACAAATAGTCCCTGAAAATTTAAACAAAATTTTTAATTCTGTTTCCTACTTTTTATTCATTCATGAAGTCATCAGTAACTGTTTAAATGAACGTCAAGAAAACCAATCTCCATTAGTAAGAAGCATATCAGATATCCTCTTGGCCTACGTGTGGGTATTCCGTGCTTATGCACCTTATCTTATACACTATGAAAAAGCCTTGAGAGAACTCAGTGATGCCGTTCGCAAGAAAAACAAATTGGGTCAATTGGTCAGAAAGCAACAAAAATTTGCAACCTGTAGAAATATGCCATTATCAACCTACCTTCTTAAACCATTCCAACGCTTATTGAAATATCCATTACTCATCACAAATTTACTCAAATGCACCGACAAAGATGGTTACGATTATGAGAACACTGTGTCATTAAAAACTAAACTCGACAACGTGCTTCAAGATGTCGAAGGTCAAAAACAAAGTCAGGACAATATTGATCGTCTTAGAGAATTAGAAACCAGAATTCAAGGTCTTGGTCATTTCCGCCTTGCTGTCAATCATCGTCAACTTGTGGGTGAAAATCCTGCTTGTCAAAACATAAACAAACCACCATCTTCATCAATTCGTAAAACATCATTAACCGTAGCTTCAGCTCCTGAACTACAATCAAAACGACATTCTATACGAAATCTTTATACACTAGAATGTAACGATATCGTCCTTTTGGCTGAAAGAACAGGTCTAACGAAAGAAGGTCAACCAATTTATAAATTGGTTTCTAATCCTCCAAAAAATCAAGAGGAACCTGCTGTCTACGTTCATCACAAATCCCAAGATTCTGGCTATTTCTCTGAGGAATGAATGGAGTAGAATAAAAATTCAAAAAACTATAAAAAAAAAAACAAAAAAAAACAATTATTATCCACACACACATATATATATTATATATACTATATTATATTGCATTATACATATTTACACATAAATATTCATTAGAATCATAATATTATATATTAGAATCATTTTGTAAATTATAATATTTTTCTCAAAGTCGCAACAACAAAAACAACACCAACATCATCTCGCAATTCCCATAAGAAGGGTAGATGAACATCAAAAATTTGTCGTGGTTCTTTAGTTCTCAAACGCACACAAATTGCAACGAAAATTCATCAACAAAGGCATGTTGATGAAGAGAGAAAAAAAATTATCAAAGAAAAGAAATTATTCAAGAAAAAAAAAGGAAAGGAAATCAAAGAAGAAAGTTTTTTAAACTTTATTTTTTTGCTTTTTCCCTTCTTTATCAAAATATTATTAAAATTTACATGGACTACAACAATAATAATATTGATCATAGTATTATTTGTTATATCAAAAATATCTGAAGAAGCCTTTTGATCATATACTAATATCAGATATCAATCAATCAATGTCAATATCATCATAGAAGATTAAAAAACTAGATCCAAAGTTAGAAGAAAATTTTTTATGACTACCAAATTTTCTCCATTCAAATTGGATTAAGTTTTTTAACATTGTTAATATGTAAACGATAAAAAGTTTTACATAATAACACACATTAAGGTTTTTATTTAAGATTTTTACAATTAAGATTTTTTTAATTATGAACAATTTTTTATTTTATATTTTTTCGTCATCGTAAATTCTTTCGTGGCAAATCTGAATATGTTTTCTAAGTTTTCTTTACGTTATTCCCGTTTTTTTATTTTTTTAAAATTTTCTTTTAACTTGCAGTTTTTTTTTAACAAAATTATTATTTTTATTTTCGTTGTAAAAATTAATAATTTTTGTAAATAACAAAGATATCTTCGATTCTTTGATTTCTTTTCTTTTCTTTTTCTTATTAAAAAATGTTCTTTGATTTTAATTTGTCCTTCTTGCCCTTCTTGCACATATCATGTATTTTTCTAAAAAAAAATGTTAAAAAAGTATTTTATTATTACTTTATTATCTTTTAATTAATATCTATAATTAACATCTAATTAATTAATATCATTTTTACTAAAAAAATCGATTTCAAAACAATGATAATAAAAAATAGACCAAAAACTAAAAATAACTTTGACAATATTAAATAACAATCAATGCCTGCAATTATTATTTTACTTTATTTTATTTTTAATGTTGACGCATAACAATAATGGCATCATACATCGTGTGCTTGCTTATTTTTAAAAAGGATCCCTTCCTCCTTCCCTCCTTGCTCTTGTGACTTGTAATTTTGGTTTTTTGATTGGTGGATTTTTTAAGTAAATAATTGAGAATATGAAATTCCTAAAATGGAAAGTAGGGCTATTTGGTTTGTTTTGTTTTTGTTTGCCAAATATTACATATAAAACTTGAAATTTCTTGAATAATAATGATAATAACAAAATAACCTGTCGGAAGTTTTTAAAAATAATCGTGAATCTCCGAATTAGTCATGTAAAAAATAAAAACAATGTAGAATAAAAGTAAAAAGTATCTTAATTAAGAAAGTGAAAACTTTAAAAATTGATCCAAATAAATATGGCGGATTTTTTGTACTTGTATATTTATTTATTTATTAATTATTATATCTTATCATTCAAATTATTTGGATGTTTATTTACATACGTGACCTAACAAGTTCTATTTGTTTTTGACCAGATTATTATTACACAAATAAAGACGATCAATTGAGCCATCGTAGTAACGGTGAAGAAGGGCGTCATCGTTTGCCTTTAACTCATTTTGTTATTTATTTAGACACTTTACTTTTTTTTATTTACTAAATTGGGGGAATAAACAATTGTCTGGTGTATACATACATATATAAAATTCAATAAATCGAGAAAATAATAACAAACTTTAAATTTCTTCTTTTTTTTTCTTTGAGTAAAGTTCCAGCCTTCATGGCTGTATGGCTAATTCGAATGAATTAGGAGTTTGTTTATGTACAAATATATAAAAACCTTATTATTTTTTATTTTATTTATTTACTTTTTTATTTTGAGTATAAATATTTTGACATTATTTTGATTCAAACATTTTAATTAGAAGAAAGACTGGTATGCAATCAAGCAAGGCGAGGCGAGGCAAGTAGGCTTAAAAATTTACCCCCAAAAAAAATTCCAGATTTTTTTTTTAGTAATTACCAACTTGTTGTTACTCACGTACAAAACCATAACAACGATCATATTAAGAAATTTAGTTGTTGGCACTCACTCATTACCTAAGAATTTTGTAATACAGAACATGTAAACAGCAAATAAAAAATTGTACGTGCAATGACTTCTTTATGATAAACAGTTTTCCCAACTTATCATCGTCCACACAAACAATAAACAAGTAAACAAATAAACAAATAACAAATGGAATTTAATACTCTCGATCTATTCGACGTACTAAATTAACTGATTTCCTGCAATGTTGCACGATATTAGTTACATCAAAGAGACTATGAAAAACCAATTCACAAGTAGAATCCCTACATTTTTTCTTTAAATATTCAAATTTATCCGGCATTCATGTATCCATCTGGTATAGAACATTACCATTTGATTGAGCTTGTTTACTCTACCCAAAATTTTGCACCTCAAAATGTTTGCGTAAATCAGTGGTGGATATGGATTAGTTGTAAATTTCCGTGCAACGTAAATAAGGAATGGATATCAAGATTTTTTAAATCTAACAAACGTCCTTTTTACTACAATAACAAATCTCATATAATTGACGCCTATATACTAACTACATAACTTGGTCAATATTGAAGATAAAAATTTTTTAGCCAATAATTCGAAAACTTTTGGCAACATTTTTGAGCACAGACAGGACTTTGGAGACTTATAATTGGTAATGGAAGTTTCTTTTTATCTGTACCATTAAAATTTTTATAATTCCAAAAATTTATACAGGATACAATAACGTCCAAATCGTTCGAATAAGGACTATCTTTAACATATTTGTTTCATTAAAAATTTTGTTGTGTGTAATTGTACGCAAACAGTTAAGAATGTATTTTCCGAAAAAAATTTGGTGATCGATATTGAAAATGGTCAGTAATTAATGAAAGAGAGAAAAATCTTGGAGCTAAAAGTCTTAATGTAAAGTATTGTATATACCTAAAAACTGATTGTTTAAACAATTTATTTAAAAAATTATTTATTTTGCTTAATTATTAAATTGATACAATGATGAATGTTAATATTCACTGTTTTCATATATTTGTTTTATAATTCAATAAAGAGCTACTACCATCAATGAAATATACCAATTTTTTTAAAAAAATGTGAATTACAAAAAGAGTAGAAGAGGCATTTATATGTCTAGTGAATGCTATTTAATTTTTTTAAAAATCTGTGTTTTGTGAGATCCTTAGCAAGGTAAAGTAGGTTGTTGTTGCATTTACTAACAAATCAAAGAAATGTGCACACTATAGGTTCTGTTATAGTTTCTTAATTTATCAAAGGTTATTATTATTCTTTACTAGTTATATTATTCATTCTTTAACACTAAATTAATATAGTGGCAATTATTTAATCTTTAAATGGCTGTTTTATCAAAATTCTTTATTTTTGCAGTCTTCTAGACATGAAAAATATTGTAATAGAAAGTTTTTTTTTGAGATATTTACCTATTACTATCACTATAAAAAATTATTAACAAAAAATGTATGGGTAATCTACGGGATACACACAGGATTTGCGGAAAACATATGGGAAAACGTAGGGATCTTCCAGTGAAAAGCATGGGATAGATACGGGATAAATACAGAATGTATATGAAACACACACGGATTTACGGAAAACATACAGAATTAGTTTTTCCCCGTACGTTTCCCGTACGTATTTCATATTAGTACATCATGTAATTCATACGGGGAAAAACGAATTCTGTATTAGTATGTTTTCCGTAAATCCCGTAATTTTTAGCGCATTTCACCGAAGGTCCCGTAAATTTCCCCTTACCTTTTCCATAAAAAATGTATGTTATTTTCTATAGTAATAGAGTTGGCAAAAAAAGTTATAATGGTTTAAAGTTGGATAATTTTACTATTACTATATATGTTATTTGAAATTTCGGCAACCATCAAACTGGTTATTTTCACGATATACTGAACATTCACGTGACCAATTCATAGATCATTTACAAATTTGGATTATTTTATCATATTGAGTTCTTTATAAAGCAAAATCGGCAGTGAAATTTTCGGGACGTGGCGCAGCACGCGATGTCTTTAGGTGATTCGCACTGCGGCACATTTTATATATTAATTAATTAATATTTTTTTATAGAAGAATCATAATACTAACGAAATTAGCATCAACTAAGAAAGAAATGAATTTAAAGTAGGAATGTTAATCAATTATACAAAATTTGATTTTTCAGCAATTGGTTATAAAATTGATTATGTTTCCCATTGATTTGAAAAAAAATCAAGTGTATGAGGGAGAAATAAGTAAATTAATAAATAAATAAGCAAATGATATAATAATAATAGTAGTTGTAATAAATCTTCAAATTTATAAATTTAAAAGTTCTTTGTTGTAATTATTTAAAGATAATACGAATACATGCTCTAGCAGAACTTAAACCATTTATGAAGAAATAAAATATTCTATCACATCATCTAATTTACATAGCCTGTCCAAGCAATTAATAAAATTTGTAATTGTCTCTTTTTTTTTCAGTATCAACTAGAGAAACAGCAGAATTAGATGGAGATGAATTTGAATCATATAAAAATACACCACAAATGCTTCCTATTGAAGAAAACGAACCATTAAAATGGTGGTGTGATAATAAAAAAATTCCAAATGCTTACTATTTTAACCAAAAAATATTTGGCAATTCATTCTTCAGAAGACCTTTTTCTGATATGAGACAACAATTACTTTGTTATGAAAAATAGGCTTAGCTCACAACAGTACCCCGAATTATTATAATTGAGGTAACATCCAGGCTATTATATAGTAAATTTTAGAAATTTTTTACCCTTTTAAGCATGTAACATCATTTTTCACCTTTACCCATTTTAGCATATAAACATGTCAAAAGTTAAAAGCTTTACACATATAAGTTGTCCAATATATTTTTATCTAAATAACTAAGAAATCATATTAATATAGTTGTTGATGCTCTTCACTAATTCTTAATAAGCCCATATCTGAATCTAATATAATGTTATTATTTCTGAGATAAAATAAATCATTATTTGAAAAAAAACAATATGTCAATAATTTAGTAATATATATTTTTTGGTCAGACAAAATTTCGAATTTGAAGCATTGTTGAGATTACTATTATCCCATCCTTATAAAAATAACATATGGGAAAACAGTACATGAACCATATTGTTTTACAGAAAAATGTATGGTTCATGTACTGTTTTCCCATATATCTTCCATACATTTTCAGTCAATAATTTTTTATAGGCATAGAAAAATATATATCAAATATGCTAACTATGGAAAATCAATTTCACTCAATCTCCAACCATGTTTGCAGGAAGTAGTAAGAATGACATATCACCAAGGCTTTAAAAAGGATGGCAGCTTTGTAAAGTGCTATCTATGTCACACCAACATGTTGCATAATACAAAGAATACAAATGCTTATGCCAGATACATGGCAAAAAATGTTATCTCAAATGAGGAGACATATATATTCAAAAGCTTGAAAACCATGGATATTATTGAGATGACCTCCTAATAAGTTGTCTCTAAAAACTCTATAAAATTTATCATGAAATATTTCAAACATCCCCCCTCCTCTTAAGCAAAAAGATATACCAAATAGAGAGGATGAGGATGTATTCCTAAATGAACTTTTTGGTAATATGAATATATTATGAGAATTTCGAATTTACAATACTGCATATCTCCTGATATTCAGATGAATAGATCAGGCAATGGGTTTTATTATTAACTTGCTGCATTTATCTATTTGAATAAATAATTTTCATTATTATATCACAAAAAAAAAAAAAAATGAATACAGTCAAAGCTCATTATATTGGATGCTTGGTTCTGGGCATTTTTGTCCACTATAAAGAAAATCAGTGGACTTATCATAAATAAATTGAGATCAATTTTTTATTAGTAACACAAATAAATTCACATATATACATAGTAATTAATTATGAAATAAAACCGTCTAATGTAAGTTGTTTTGCATTATCCCGAACATGTTTATGAATTTTTGATTTTAAATTATTAATCATTTTTAATTCTTGATAACTAATTGTAAAATTATCTGGTGGATTTTTTAAATATTGAATCACTTTTTCTAAATTATTTAATGCCTCTTTATCAGAAATAACCACCGTTTCCACCTCTTCCTCATTATCAGAATCATCAACCTCAGGATTTGGCTCCACTGCTCTAATAATTTCTTCATCAGTTAGTTCTTGTATTGGTGCTTCATCATTGATGTAAATAAAACGGTCTGCAGTGATTGGATCTTCCAGGTTTAGTGCATCAATTGAATTTTGTAGTTCAGAAATTTCAACAGAAGAAATTTGATTTAAATTTATTGCTTCTTCAGCATTAGGTAGGATTTTTGTTTTTCTCCAACAATTTACAATCGTGCTTGATTTTACATTTGTCCATGCTTCACTTACAAAATTTATTGCATCAAGGATATCAACTTCTTTTATCTTTACATTTTCTTCTTTTGCATTTTCATATTCTTTTATCCTATTTTCCACCAAAATCTTTCTATATTGAGCCTAAGATTAAAAGTAAGTTAAATAAAATTCAAAATTTCGAAAATTAATAAAACATTCAAAATTTTTTTTTGCTCCTTACCTTGAAGCTATTAATGATTCCTGCATCCAAAGGTTGCAAGTGGGATGTGGTGTTTGGAGGAAGGAAATGTAATTTAATGTTTGATAAAGGTAAATTTTCATTTATTATATGGGTTGGAGCATTATCTGCTAATAATAAAATATTTTGATTTTGTTGTCTCATCATTTTATTAACCTTTTCAAGATAATTATACCATACTGATGCCTGCATCCAAGCAGTTCGGTTCCAATAATACCAAACTGGCAAATCATCCTTATTGATTCCTTTAAGAACTCTTGGTGTTTTGTATTTATGTATAACTAATGGGGGTAATTTATGACTACCATCAGCATTACATGTTAAAGCAATAGTGATGCGGTTTTTGGATTTTTTAGTACCAGAAATTAAATGATCAGAAAGAGTTTTAGATGGCTCTAAACTCCAAAATAAAGCTAAGTATTTTTAAAAAAGTTATATATACTTTAGTAAGAATTTCAATTCAAATAAATTTGGCTATATTTATACAATTACCAGTTTCATCAATATTATAGACATCACAAAGATCATATTCCCCAATAACTTCTCGTAAAATCGCTCTTTCATCATTTAGTGTTTCCAAAGGTGCACTATTTGCCTCACCTGCTTTATTATATTGTTTTATGTTATAGCGTGCTTTAAATTTTGTTAACCACCCATCTGATCCACCAAAACTTGTTACTTGTAATCTCTCAGCAAAATGTGTTGCTTTGCTTTTTAATATGTCTCCACTAATAGCTAAATTTGATGCCAAAGCTTGACTCATCCATAAATACAATGCAGCTTCAACCTCAGGAAATTTAGCACCTCTTTCTCTTTTTAAATTGCTAGATTTTACATTTGAGGTATTAATAGATGTCCATTTATCCTTCTCTTTTATTATATTACCAGCTTGTGATTTTGATATTCCAAATTTTTTTGCGATTTCATCTAAATTATATGATGGATGATCTCTTTTCCATTCACATACTTCTTTCTTCTCCAAAAAAGTTAAACTCTTTCTTTTCTTAATTTTTTCTTCATCATCACTTCCTTTAGTTCTCTTTTCTGGTGGCATTTTAAATATATAAATAGTACCGAGATATTGATAATATTACCAATTAAAAAAAAATTATAACAAGGTAAATGACAAAATGATGATAAATGATAAATGATTTTTATTTATTGATTAATATTAAAATTTCATCTGAGATTTTTCTCTCTTTATATAAACAATTTCTTGTATAAAAGAAATACTATAACAATATACTATTACAATTTTTTTTAAAACAATTTAATTTCGTGTAAATAATTCTCTTTGTTGTTAAAGAATCAACTAAGTCTTTTTTGAAAATGAAAAGGTATTTTGACACTGCTAAAAAAAAAGAGGATAATGTATAAATTAATTTATTGTCAAAGAAATCAACTAAATCTTCAAAAACGTGAATACTTTCCACTGCCAAAAAAATCAGCCTTCTTTGTTGTTAAAGAAATTAACCAAGTCTTTTTTGAAAATGAAAAGATACTGTTGAAAAAAAAGAGGATAATGTATAAACATTAATTTATTGCCGCCATCAAAAAAAAAATAATGCGCAGATCAAAATTTATTGTTAACAAAATAATTGTTTACCTTTTTTTAATATACAATTTTGTTGACCACATTAACACTAACCATTAATGTAAAAGATTGCCATAAAACCACATGATTTCCACTATAACGAGCATAATTCATAAGGTATGTTCTATATCAAATTTTTTAAAAGTCCACTATACACAATAAAGAGATTTTATTAAGAAGTCCACTATAACAAACAAATTTTATTATAAAGAGAATTGGGGAAATAGAAAACGTCCACTATAGGCAAAATCCACTATAACGAGATCCACTATAACGAGCTTTGACTGTAATAATAATAATAATAATAATAGTTAATTTATTGTTTGATAATTATGAATACAAAGAATTGGAGAAATAATAATTA